ATATATAAAAGAATGGAAAACGAAATGCAAAATTCATTTTTAAGATCAATTGAACAAAGATTAAGATTAATAGAAGAAAAATTAAATATTATTAATATTCATGATATTGAAATGACTGAAGATTCTGAAGTTACTACAGTTACTACTGAAGTTACTGAAATTACAGAAACTACTGAATATGATAATGATATTGAAATGACTGAAGAAGATGACGAAGATAAAGAAGATGACGAAGATAAAGAAGATGAAGAAGATGAAGAAGATGAAGAAGATGAAGAAGATGAAGAAGATGAAGAAGATGAAGAAGATGAAGAAGAAGTTACTACAGTAACTACAGTAACTACAGTTACTACAGTAACTACTGAAATTACAGAAACTACTGAATATGATAATGAAGATGATAAAGATGAAGTTGTATTTGATAATTAGACTACAGAATTAAATATTTTTTTTATTTTTTTACAAAAAATAAAAAAATTGAAAAATGAGTTAAATAATTTTCTTGTATATATAAAAAAGAATGGAAAATAAAATTCAAAACGAAATAATTAATCCTTCATCTCAGATATATTATATTACTGAAATATTAAAAAACTATGGGTATAACGATAATTTTGAAAATAAAGTTGACTTTGCTGTTGAAATAGATAGATTTGATCTAATTAAATATTTACATTCAAAAGGTTATAAAGGTACAAAAGATGCAATTGCTTATGCTGCATTAAATGGTCATCTTGAAGTAATTAAATACTTGCATGAATTAGGGTATAAAGGTACAAAAGATGCTATTAATAATGCTGCAGAAAATGGTTACCTTGAAGTATTAAAATATTTGCATGAATTAGGGTATAAAGGTACAAAAGATGCAATTAATTATGCTGCAATAAATGGTCATCTTGAAGTAATTAAATATTTACATGAATTAGGGTATAAAGGTACAAAAGATGCAATTAATAATGCTGTAGTAGATGGATATTTAGATGTAGTTAAATATTTAATATCTTTAAATTATAAAGTCAATGAAACTGATTTTATGTGTGCTGTATTTAATGAACATTTAGAAATTCTTAAATATTTCAATTCATTAAATTTAAGAGGACCTGAAAATTTAATTGATTATGCTGCAATGAAAGGACATTTAAATGTTATTAAATATTTAATATCTCAAAATTATAAGGTAAATAATGACACATTTATTATTGCTGCAGAAAATGAACATTTACATATTCTTAAATATTTTATTGAAGATTTAAATTTAAGAGGACCTAAAAATTTAATTGAAAATGTTTTATACAATTTAATGAGACCTAAAAATTTAATTGAAAATGTTTTATACAATTTAATGAAAGAAGAAAATAGTCATCTTGAAGTTGTAAAGTATTTACATGAAAAAGGATATAAATAAGAAATAAAAAATTGAAAATTTAATTTCTTTACATAAATTAAAAAATGGATTTTACAATTAAAGATATTAAATTAGGAAGTTATAAAAGAAGAATAAGATTAGATCGTTATTTTCAAAATAAAAATAAATTACAATGGGAAAAGTTAGAGAAGGAAAGATTAGAAGAAGAAAAGTTAAAAACACCAGATCAAATTTATTATTAAGAAAAAGTCACGTGACGTCATTTTAAGAATTTTTCGTAATATTTCATAACAAGAAATAAAAATTAACACTTATTTTAAAAAATCAATTTTTTTAAAATAAAAAATTATTTCTTGTTGAAATAAATTATACACAACATGGTTCAATGTTAACCCCCAATATTAATATTAATTTATGGTTGAAAATTTGGTTGAAAATAAAAAATGTCCCAGAACTCTCATTTTCCTACTACTCACAAGAGCCTAACTTTTGAGATGAAATACGAGATTTCATGATCTGAGAATAGCGGGCTTCGGCGTTAGACAAAACCTTTTTACAATGATATTTAACGTCTGTTTTTTGGAGAATTGTTTTGCTGATAGATATGGAAGTAATGGATTCGATTGGAAGTGATTGAAGAGTGAGGCTTGACCTGGAATTGTCGAGAGGGAATAAAAAATTCCATGCCAGCACGTCATCACGAAGAAAATCACGGAAAGAGTCCCAGTCAGCTTTAAGGTAGTTGTAAGATGTACAATGATAGGCGGATTCTGATGGTAAAGAAGAACGAGATAATAGTTTGAGAGAGACCAAACCATGATCAAAAGCACCTAAGGGTGAGTGTGAAAAAACTGAGCACTGACTAGGATCAGTAACAAGGCATAAGTCGAGTAGAGAAGGTAAATGATTCGGGTTGTCTGGAAAGTAAGTTGGAAAGTTGACTATTTGAGTTAGGGGTTGAGAAAGGCAAAAGTTATGGGCTTTAATGCCTGCAGAGTCACTGACACTAGAGCCAAGCCATTCAGTGTGATGAACATTAAAGTCACCGACAACAACAATATTGGCTGGTGGATAAAGAATGAGGGCTTGGTCAATATAATCAGAAATAACATCAAGAAGAGTGCAGTCTTGAGATGAGGGAGAGCGATATAGAACAAAGAGAAAGGTGATAGAGTGAAGTGGTGCTAAACGAAAGCACATAAAAGAGTAGTCTGTGGATTCAAACCTAGTTTCCTGACAAATGGGTGAATTCTTACGAATATAAATGCCTAGGCCAAGCATGTGGCTATTCAGGGGTGTAGAGTCGTAAAAAAAAAGTAACAACTCCGACTCCAGTTGTTGAAATTTTTTGAGTACAACTTCGACTCCGACTTCGACTCCAACTCCAAAGCAAAATTTTTGAAAAATTCTTTGAACTCTTTAAAAAATATTGCGCGATAAGTTAAAATTTTTTTTTTGACAAATTTATGCAATGTTCTTTGAGGTTTAGTATGAACATAAGGTTAATTGAATGTTTTGTACATACACGTGCAATACCAAGAAATATTACTATCGGAGCCGGAGTCGCGATATTTTTTAACTACTCCAACTCTGCTAAAATTTCGTTGCAACTCCGACTCCGACTCCACAGCCCTGGAGTCTTTACATATTAAAGGAAGATAACCATCAACACTAAGATCACAAGTTGAGACAGCTGAACTCAAATTAGTCTTACAAAGAGCAAATAGGTCTGGTGAACTTTGCAAGAGATAAGACTCAACAGAAGAAAAGTTACTTCGAAGACCACGAATATTGGTGAATGATAGGTTTAGCGAACTTGGTGATGACTGTGGTTTTTTGAGTTTTATAGTTTTTGTTACTTTATTTATTTTTAAATTTGAAACATAGATAGTACTCAGTACACTGTTTTATAGCCCAAGCAATTGCCTTATTTCCACTAATAAACCCTGAGCCATAACAAAGGGCTCCAATGTGGCCTTGGCAATGCACACTAAAAGTACAAACAAGGACACCATCCATGCGCAACATGGCACTGTTAGCACTCTAATATTTTTCAACTGTTGATGGAATCAGCCTCTCTGAGAGCTACCACAGAGTTCGGGAAACCTGACTACCAGCCGGCCTAAAACCCTAAGCAAAACCCATGCACCGAGTCAAGAAGATCCAGCGTTCAACATCCTAAACTGGAAACAATGTATTAAAAATACATTGTTTCCAGTTTAGGATGTCGCACCCCTTCTCCATCTATTTTTTTTTTTTTTTTTTTTTAATTTTACTTCACCTCCTCAAGGCCAAAAAGGCCACTACAGAAGTGGAGGCTACTTATTTTGTGGCTATAACCCTCTCTCAACTCTATAACTCCGAAACACGAACCTTGACAAACAAGGCCGCTGCGCGGAGAAACGAGTTGAGCGCGGTACTACCAGGGACGTGGTGGGGATCGAACTCAGAACCACTCGTTTATGAAGCGAGCGCTCTACCACTACACCACTACCTTCTCCATCTATTAGGCGCCAGCCTAATAGATGGAGAAGGGCTCGCACCCCTATTGCTGGTCAACAGATAGAATCTGTTTACCCCTTAAGTCTTTGCCTAGGAGGCCTTCTACAAGACAGCAGCCCGATGCATTTAACATCTGCCCAAGATAAGTAATTTTATCGAGACACCATCTCTAGCCTTTACTCAACCAAGAGCCCCAAGGCAGGGGGTGTTTTATGTCAGAGTTTGCATCTCCTAGCCTTTGCCTAAAAAGGCATATCCTACAAGGCAGCAGGACATGAAGCAGATTGTACTGGGTTACATGTTACCAGTAGCAGGATAAACCTGACCTGACTGATATATTGATATAATATATATATTAGTATGTATTAATTATACATTAATGTATTCTGACTATGATAAATCTTTATCATAGTCATGAAAATTGTTAGGATAGTCACAATGGCATCAGAAATGAAAACAATAAAATACCATGAAAAATAAATTTCATTTTGTACTTATTAAATCATTACAATTATATAAATGCAAACAATTGATTAGTAACCATAACAACCAGCACTAAAATCTTGACAAAAGTTTGATTATAAATGATTTGATTATGAAAATGCTAATAAATGGTAATAGTGAGATCATATATTCAAACATTATTTGATTGATCTTTTACATAAGTATGAGAAACTTAAAGCAGAGTTTATTGATGGGACAGAGTTTATTGATGGAACAGATCTCAATAAATTAGGCTAAAAAAGACAATTTTTGTCTAAACATATTATTGTGTTCTTATTGATTGTGGATAAAAGAAAGATTTCATAGATAAAATTTTAGAAAACTTATAAAAAAAAGCCATTCTTGGTTTCATTCATATATTTACATAAAGGACAAGTTTGAAAAATTATGCAGAACTTATATGATGAAGTAAAATATTAGTTCACCAATCAATTTCACAATAAAAATCTTAAAAAAAGATTGCATCCATACAAAAAAATAGTGCAGCTATTAAAGAACACAAACTGTTCACAGCTATTAAAAAACACAAACTATGCACAGCTATTAAAGAACACAAACTGTTTGCACCAGCTAATTGAAGCAATTAAACACTTGATTGGTGTATGAGGTTATATAAAAAAATCATCACCTTTTGTTGAAATCTTTGTTCAAACATTGCCATACATTCAACTTCAGAAAGCTTTTTCTGTTGATCTAGGTGTCCTACTTGTATTCCTTTAGCATTACCAGGTTTTAAAAATAATGGATCATACAAATCTATAAATAATCAAATTTCTGTTATAATTATTATTATTAAAATTTTTTACTATTATTGTTATTATTGTAATATATTTTATTACACTCATTGTAATATATTTTATTATAATATATTATTTATTATTATTGTTATTTAATTATTATTAAGTAGTGGGTACTCAATAAACAAATTGAGAATTTGTTTATTAGGTACCAAAAACTTATTTCTTTCTCAGGCAACACAATGTAAACCTGTTATAATGATGTAAATACATTATTAAAATAAATATACATTCATACTTTTTTACTTAGCATTTATATAATGCACTTTTATTATCATACAAATATAAACTTTATTTACCTTTTAAAACTCAATGGATTTAAACAATTTTCATTATATGATAATTTTAATATAGTTATAACTTATACTCATAATTTAACTTAAAATGACTTAATTACTCTCAAACTTAAGTTTAATAAAATAATGTAACAAAGGTCCATTTAGGTTTTTTAATGTTTATTCATGTATTTTTTGCCACTGCATTCCAAAATAACATTAATTTTGACATAGCATTGATAGTTTTTATATATACTGAGTCAATATATTAAGTCAATATATTGAGTCAATAAATTGTATCAAATTGTAATATTGTGAAAATAACTAGATAGCATTTAATACTTAATCCTACTACTCATATATTTAAAGGTATTTAGAAAGTACTATATTATTAAAAGCAAAAATAAATAATACAATTCTTTACTATAAATGTTTTTAACCTATTACAATAAAATTCTATATTATAAACTATTTCTTCAACATTAGAAGTGTTTTTGATGATTGCAATTTATTTGAAGGCATACTTTTACCTTTCATTAAAAAAGCTTTTATTTGGGGTTCAACGAATATAATCTGATCTTTGCTTCAATTTCTTGTAAAGCTTCTCCTCCAAATTCTTGACAAACTTTTTTATCAATCCTAGCTTAATATGAAGTGGAGGTAACAGGACTTTATTGAAATTTATTAGAGGCTGCTTGAGTACATTAAACAATCCTGATTATAGTTCCATTTGTGGTGGCCAATGAACTTTCTTGTAATGATCATTATCAGTTCTGCTGTCCCATAAGAAAAGAAAACATAAATACTTTCTCTTGCATAATCTCTCTTGCAAGCCAAGCAAGAAAGAAAAGATCATGAAATCACCGCAAACATCCTCAGAATTCAGAATAACTTTGTCAAGAAGTTTTTTGACATTATCATAGTCTTCTCTTTTCTGTACCAAGAAGAAAGATGAATATTTACTTAAATTGTGAAATAAATATTCATCTTTTGCTCTCTTCTGTGCAAGAGGAAAGATGGATATTTACTTCCATTGTGAAGCAATAATGCTTTGAGACTCGATTTTGAGCTTTCTATGAATAGTTGCTATTGTACAGGATCATGCTCCAGTCTTAGAGAAGTAAACAATCCAGTCACATTTTCACAGTAAAATAAGTTATTACACAAGTCAAAGTGAATTTCAAATTCTTGCTCTTTCCAGTACACACATGTTCTGCAGTCTTCACCTAGTAGATTCCATTTGATCAGCCTTAATGAGAGAAGTGCAACACCTGACTTAGTAAGACCTAAATCTCTGACTAAATTATTTAGCTCACTCTGATACAGAACTTGAGGCTGAAAGATCATTATTGACACAAAAGCTTCCTCCATGTCTTTGCTACTGTCACTTATTGAATTTTGCGATGCAATATTTATACAATCTTTATTTGTAAAAAAAAAAAGAAAAAAATTGTCCAGCAACTTCAATATAGACATTAATAAATAGTTGCCTTCAAAAATTAATTAAAAAGTAAATGCATAGTAAATATATAATGCTTGATTATATTAAATATAAGACTTTTGAAAAGAATGATGAAAAGTATACTTACATTTTGTGGTGGGTATGGAACTGATAGGCTTTTGTCATGTGGGATAGGTGCTGTAGATAGTGATATGTCAAGATATTGATAAAGTTGTCTCCCTTTAGTTTTTATGTATTTCATTTAATCAATAATACAAAAGTAACAATCATTACAATGGTTTTTTGGCATTCTCCAAATTATGAGAAAAGAAAAATGTTGCCTTTCTTCTACCTTGCAACTATCCTTCTAGAGAATTTTGGCCCAATTTTATTTTTATTTACTTGTAGCTCTGTAATGATAAAAGTAAAACTATTTATTATTAATTGGATTTCTTCATCCATTGCATTTTCAATATTTCCTGCTATCCTTTGAGGATAACAGGAAATATTGAAAAGTGAAGAATCTTGTGCTTAAACTTGAACTCTTATTTCTGATTTATTTGCAATTAAAAATAAGAAATACAAAAAGGTGATACAGGTAATATCAAAATGACTCTTATGTAACACCTAAAAAAAAAAAAAAAACTGGTTAAAATAGTGTGCAATGGTGATGAACATTGTACTTTTTTAAATTTGATTTGAACAAAGACGAAGTGGACAAGTAGATAATTCGATAGAAATCAGGTAGAGAATTCGATACCTTGATAATTTTTTTTCACAGTAGAAAAATCTTCACTCATAATTTCGAGCATGACATCTTGTAGGATAGTAAGACAGAGCAAATGACAAAAATCTTCATGTATGACATCTTGTAGGATAGTAAGACAGAGCAAATGTAAAAAACTCAGAAAAAGGTAGATCAACGAAGTTGTGTATAACTTTATAAGTTATTACAAGATCAAATTTTATTCAAGAGATTGAAGTCTTGAAGAATAATCTTTATAAGGAATACAACATCTTATACAGCAACTTCTAGTAAAAGATTTCTGAACCTTTTCTAACCAACGCATATCTTTTAAAAATGAGGATTCCACACAGAGGTACAAGATTCTAAAATAGGTCGAACATAAACTTTATAGGCTTTGATCAGAAGCTTGAAATCATTAGTGATAAAAGATTTAAAAAGTAAGTAGAAAGGAAAATGTGTCTTGCTTGCAATGAAAGAACAGTGATTAGAAATCTTCATATCCGCATAAACAACTATACTGATATCTTGAATTGAATTAATAGATTTAATAGGCGTACCAATATTCATTGAGTATGAATTTAACGGTAAAGAACTGCTTCCATAGCGTAGATGAAAACATTTTTTTGGTTGCTATATTAAGTTGCCAAACTTTTAACCATTCTGAAAAAATTTTTAAGGTATTGATAAAGTGCATGTTATTCCTGTCATTGGTTGCTGAATATAAACTTGCTGTCATCAGCAAACAACTTAATGCTGCAATCACTATCAATACGTAAAGTTACATTGTTTATAAAAATTAAAAATAAGATGGTTCTGAAAACAGTCCTATGAGGTATTCTGCTCCTTACAAGAATTTTGTTTAAATACAAGTTACCCACACAGACACAATGAGAACGATTTGTTAAAAAATTGGTAATCCAGTTTAGAAATTCATACTGGATACCATCACAATGCAGTTTGAACAATAACTTAGAGTGAATTTTGCTACTAACCTTTCTTGTAAACAAAATATACAATCGATTGCTAAATTAGCATCCCTTTATCATTATCGTTGTTTTCTTACCCTTGATTCCATTCTCTACCTCTACAAATATCTTTTTGTCCCTGTATGGAATGTTGTTGTCATATCTGGGCTGGTTCTTCTTATGATGCCCTTTTTCTTCCAAAGAAGCTCTGTCTGCTAAGCTTGAGCCTCTTTCCCATTGTCATAAAGTTGCATCTCTTTCTCTTTTCTACAAATTCTATCATGGTGGCTGCTCAAAAGAGTTATTATCTCTAGTTCCATTAACAAAAACTCATTCTCGCTTGACTCTTTATTATGCTAAGTCTTATTCATTAGTTGTTAAATTTTATTAAATATAATAAATGTAAATAAAAAATAATGTTTATTGTGTCAATATACACTAAAAACAGAAAGATAAAATTGAGGAAGATAAAATTATCAAAGAGGTTTTTATACAGGACTGCTTCAACTGTGTTAATATACCAAAACAAAAATTAATTCAGTAAATTTCAGTATTTATTGTCCTATTTAAATCAGAAATTAAAATATGAATTAAGATATTGCCATTAAAGTTAAAATATGTAACTTAAACAATGAATTTTTGAATATTTCCCAAAAAAAACAAAAAAACGGACCCCTATGTTTTTTTCTCCAAAAAAACGACATAAAAAAAACAAAAAAACAAGAACCAAAAAAACGCGTCACATCTCTAGTACTGCATGCAAAAAACCTGCACAAGTTTTATCAGATTGATCTACTATAAGAACTTTTTTATCAGATTGACCTACTATAAGAACCTCTTAGTTTTTAGATGTAGACTGTACAAGTTTCAAGTAGCAGGGTAATACTAGTTAGTTTATTAGTTTATATTTATATCATAGTTCTATATATATAGTTTATATATATACAGTTTATTAGTTTTTATTTATATTATAGTTATTAGTTAATATTAGATAGTTTTGACTTTCTGAACATGTTTTTTCCCCTCCATGTGCCTTGTCACAGCTCTCTAATCTATATTGACTTTGTCACCTCACCTAAAGACAAAGCTGAATTGTTTGCTAAGAACTTTTCATCAATATCATCTCTTGATTCCACTAGTTGCGTTTTACCTGACATAGCCGTCAAACAGGTTGATCCCTTGCTTGACATTCGCATCACTTCAGCTTCTGTATCTAAAGTAATTTCCTGCTTAGACTCTTCAACAGCTTGTGGTCCTGACAACATTCCTGTTGTAGTTTTGCAGAGGTGTTCTCCGGAGCTTTTATCCATACTTTCTAAACTATTTAACAAGTGCTTATCAGAGTCTTGTTTTCCATCATGCTGGAAAGCAGCATCTGTTATCCCTATTTTCAAAAATTCCGGAGAACGATCTGATTCATCTAACTACCGTCCCATTAGTCTTCTTCCTGTCATAAGCAAGGTTTTTGAATCTTTAATCAACAAACACTTAATCTCTCATCTTGAATCAAATAACTTACTTTCTGATCAT